GGGTAGACGATAGTCTGAAATAACACATTGGCTTTTGACTCCACGGGAATACATAGAAGTGAAAAAATGCTTACGTCATTGTTGGTATGAGACCAGATGCAAAGACAATTACATGTTCATTCATCTTTCTCGGGTAGTTTATATTTTCCGCCGTAGAAAAAAAATCCTATTATAAATGGTCTCCAAACGTAACTATGGTTTCTAACTCTCAGAAAAAAGCGTGTTGGTGTAAAATATGTACTATGTCCATCTCACAGACAGACTATTATTTATTTTGTATTTGTTGACGTTTCAAAAGTACCAAACTATGGTTTAATTGAAATAAAAGCTTTGACTTTGACTTTGACTTTCAGGAATGGTTAACAGATTTTGTTCGTAAAAAAATAGTCTTTACGATATGTTATGTATCAACTTTTGACTTTTGTATTCATAAGAACGTATTTAATGTCGCAAAGACCAAACAACACCAAGTCATAAATTTCATTTTACAAGCAGTTACAGAACACTGATATCTTTATATCAACACAACAATTCGTGTTATTTCGTTAAATAGTTTCAATCGTCATATAAAACAATACTTTTATAAAAAAATACATTTAATAAATAAGCAAATACAAATAAAATCAATTCAAAAGTCTGTTATCAAAACTTTAGATAAACAAGTTAGCTAATACAGTAGACAGGCTCTGAAAACTAATTATTAACAACGCTAAATAGATTTAAAAACTATAACTAAGTTGGGTGGATTACGCCAAGTTGCTAAGAGTAGATTATCTGAGGCCACCTAGTGGGATACAGGCTAACTTTAGGAAATACGACAATGAATCTAGATATGGAATTAGTAGTTGCTACTTGTTTATGTACAAACAATAATAATAATATATAAACTTATGATATGAGCTTGACTGCCTCGTTGGCCGAGTAGTCGCAAGTGCGACTGCCGGGCAAAGAGTCTCGGGTTCGATTCCCGGGTCGGGCAAAGTATAAGTGGGTTTTTAAAAAAATCTCAGTATTAGCACGGAGTCTGGAATTATGTCTGATATATGGCAATAGGATCACCTCGTTTTTTTTTTTTTTTATTAAACGTTGCCCCACACTAGGATTTTCTCCTGTGTCGTGGGTGCGTTTACAAACATACAATATCACATACACATCACACCCAGACCCGAAACAACAATTTGTGGATCACACAAAGTGTTGTTCCGTGCGGGAATCGAACCCGCGACACGTTGCACGGCAGCCGGTTGCCCAGCCACCGCACCAACCGTGCAGTCGAACCTTTACATGGGACTCATACCATAAATGGTGAAAAGTGGGTGTTACATTTTACAGTGCCTAATGAGCACCTCTGCCTATCCCTTCGGGGATAAAAGGCGTAATGTTATGATAGGCTATAAACTTATACTTTTGGTAGATGTACAAATATGTACATAGTATATACTTGTGAGTATCCTTACACACTACTTTGGCGTTTTCCACGTTCATCACAAGATGTAACATCTTGTCATATTTATGAGTACGCCACTCAGGAGCATTCACATCAGGTCAGGTACATCAAGTATCTTTTAGGACCTGTCTAATCAGTTCTGCTTATTTCTAATACTAGAAAATAATACAAGATACTTTTTGCTTTTTAACCGATTTCAAAAAGAAAATCTTCAGGATCTCACTTTGAACTGTATGTATGTATGTGCGCTATTATCTCGCGATCGGCATAACCGATTTTGATGCGGGTTTTCAAAAAAGTGTTTGTTGAACTTAGGAGAAGGGTTTAGTATGTTAATTTACTCACTTTAATAAAAGAGGGGAGTCGGTTATTTTAAACATAGTTGTGTGACTCCTCTGGTGTTGCGGGTGTCCATGGGCGGCGCTAATTGCTTACCATCAAGTGATCCGTCTGCTCGTTTGCATCCTATTCCATAAAAAAAGTTTATGAAATAATTATTTAATCTACTTTTGATAAGGGATTAAAAATATTTTGATTCACCAATTGATATCCCCGTTACGGCACTTAATGCCACTGTACAATATAACACCCACTTCTCACTATTTATATTATGAGTCCCATGTAATAAGGGGTGAGCCTATTACCAAACCAGTTTTATAATCAACACTAAACATTGTAAGAAATTAAAAGTACCCTTAACCGACGAGCATGCATGAAAAGATTGATGACTGTTAATGAAGCGAAAGAGGTATGTAAGAATCGTAGTAATTGGCGTTCCTTAGTCTCTGCCTACCCCCATGGGACCCAGGCGTGAAGTTATGTATGTATGTATGTACTAAACAATGTTGAATATTTAATACAAAATGATGTCTTCGACTGGCGTTTTACGTTTTTATAATGGTGTTAAATAACATTTTAACCCGAAGTTAGTGGAACGCCGGTCTCATAAATTCAATAGACGGTTGATACGTAAGATTTATGTGTAACCGCGCAAAGGGTTGAAATTGAAAAGGCACCACCTGTATAAAAATCGTTCACCCACCCTTTGTGTATCGAACTTCATGACGGGTCCATTTTTTAAACGAAGATTCAATTATGTTATATTTTTACGTGGTTTAATTCTGGGTTGCGTTGGGAAATATTTATGGCTATGGCAATATTGATTTTTTCATTTGTGATGTTCCACAAATAGGACTGGAAATCTACATAGTATGCTAATTAGTTTCACATTAATATTCTGAATGAAATACTCGCTCAAAAAAGATAATATAATATAATATAATAATATTTAAAACCCACTATTACGAAGCTCACAATTTTTCACCAAATTTTCTCACTCTTGAACAACCCCCATAGGTACCGTAAATTCGATAAGCATGGGAAATAATTGTTTTTATCAACCCTGTAGAACACGTGACTTCGACATAACCAAAATGTATTACACCCACGTGAATTTCGATTCCTGTTCGTGATATGTTACTTTCGTAGAGTTGCTTCCAATATCGGCTGGAGAAGGAAACTTAGATCGTACCCATTGAAGCTTATCAAATTGTACCTTATTATTATGTACATAAGTCCTTCACTTTCCGTAATTTTAATAGATCCATCAAACCTTATTGAATACTTACGTCGAAACATCGTACCTTTGATCATTATTGGATTATTTCTCTCGTGACCTGTGAGAGGTTATGTGTTGTATTAGCTAACTTATGAACTTAGGAATAAGAGTTATATTTGTATGTCCGTGATAAGTTTGGCTTTAGTGAAGGAATGATTAAGCAATAACTAACCTTTATACAATATTTTCAATCTTATTACTATTTGACTAAAGTTAAAAATAATGAGTAAGAGTATATTTAACGGGAGTAATATAAGTTGCGAAGAAACAATTAAGAATTTTAATTAAATACATTAAAATACATTACAATTACCTTATTTGAAACAGGTTAGATCTTAGGTTCAATGAAATTTGAATTTTAACGAATAAGAATAAGATAGTTATTGGAATCCTTACGGATCCCATGGATTGTGGTCTACAAATCCAATTAATGTTGAGCAAAGTTCCTTTGGTAGGTTTTGGAGAGTATCCAACAGTTTCAATTGGTGATTGCCAACCGGTTTTACGTTATGCCGGTCCATTGCTACTAATTTAGTTTGGTATCGTGAGAAGAAAGAGAATTGGTTAGAGATTAGTTTGCATTTGCGACCGTCGATGTTGTTTGTTAAAGTAGAATTTACTTTGGCGATTTTAATGATTCGAATGTTTAGAAGTCGTCTTGCAAATGTTTTCGTTTTTTTTGTGGCAATGCAATTTAAGTCTCTTATAGTCACTTTCAGCAACCATCTCTAAACCATTCCCTCACTAAGAGTTACATAGCGTGACGTAGTACCTAAACTATAACTGACTTACAGGTTAGTAAAAATAAACTGACGTAAAATGTCACCTATTTTAACTTAGGGATTCCTCACAATCTAGGAGGGATTGATGAAAATGTGCATAAGTATACATCAATCTATACTATTATTATAAACATCACAATTTTACCCACTCTTATAAAGATTGGTAATGTTTTCAACAACTTCTGGGTTTAATCACATCGCATCAACAACCTATACCTAAGTGGCTACTGCTGACCAAAGGCCTCTTCTCTCACGGAGAAGGTTGAGCATTCCATGCTTGCTCAATACAGGTTGGCGATTCCAAACTTATAATTAGAAATTATAAGTCTAGGTTTCCTCACGATGTTTTCCTTCACCGTTTGTCAGTGATGTCTAAATAATCTTAGAAAGTATATATAACTCGGTAAAAGTCACATTGGTACTTGCCGTTGGTAGATTGTGAACCCTCACCCTCATGCATGAGAAACTGGCGTCTTCGACCTCTAAACCACCACGACCTGGGTTGAATACCCATGTCATATTTCTCCGTTTGTCAATATTTGTGATCGATCGATTATAGCAATTACACTAAAGTGCGGCAAATAAATGGAACTGTCACTCATTTTTCTGATTGCCAATCCACGTTTAGTGATATGGGTAGACACTTCAGTAGGTAGTTCGAGTTCACAGTTGATTGAAATTTAATTGGGAGCCATCAAATATCTCTTTAATTATTTTATATGACTTGTTATGATCACGTTAAAAAGAATCTTAATGATAAAAGAACGATAGTACATACACACGGTATCGATTAAAATCCTATTCATAAAGAAGATAGAGTTTAATCATTTCAGAGGTATTTGAAGTACAATTTTTCATAAGAAATCAATATTTTACAATACGAATAGAAACCAAAAAGCGCCGTTCGTTCTATAGATAAGACATTATTGTTTATTGGATCGAGGGAATCATTATATCTGTGTCTATACTTCTCTATGGCAGACGGGACTAACGACTTGGAAGTTTTCTTGGCCTTAAATCTCCTTTGATACGGAAATAGTTAATACTTTATTAAAAAGTTACTGTCTCTCAAGATAAATACTAGTAAAAGCTAAATTATTTCTATGAAAGTTTAATATTTACTTACTTCAAATAAATAGAACATCGCTATTTAATAAAATGAAACCATACGAAGGCTGGTATGTCATATTTGCGTACATAATATCGGACGTATTAAAGGAATATTTGTTAGATGAAGTATTTATCATAATATGACAAGACGTCGGCTCACATTGTTAACATAGATGTAGGTATTGTGTGTAATATACACGCTCCTTCAAATAATCCTCTATGTGGTATCAAAGGCATTCCTTCTTAGTGATCTAGTCACGTATTGCCCTATAGACTTTCATCATTTATTTAGTTTGTGTGAAACGTGGCTTACTTGTAATGTAAATATTCGTAAATCTAGGTAACAAATATTTTGGAGTTTTGTTTACCACTCGTTACAATAACCCTTATCCAATAACATCCAAGGTTCATTTAAGCGAAGCGGTGGTGGGACTCGTCTCTAATTTCCTCCCCGTTCATCCTATTTCCTTTCTCAGGCGAGCGACGCCTTCCACCTCTGAGATGCATTTGCTCACGTGGAATCAAATACGAACCGCTTAGCTGCCTCACATAGGAACATGTTAACTTTCTTTTGAGAAAACTCGACCGTTGTATATTTTGAATGTTTCCTTAAAGAAAATTGGGTCGCACAGGCAACAAAGTTTGCATGTTCCACCGAGGTATTCCTTTACCTCCCATCCACTGGTGTGCACATAAGCCGTCTTATGCCCAAACCAGTGGAGCTCAACGCCCGCTAACAATAACCGTGTTTGTTGCAGTAAAGTGATAAGTGTAACTACAAATATATTTTTGATGTAAACTAATTATCAATTTCATTCCGTCGAAGTACAAAGTATAAATTTTAAAAAGTGTTGAAATCGAATATAAATAGTAATATAAAGTGAACTTTAATGAACAATATGACGTGTTGAACATTTAGTGCGAAACAATGACTTTAGTGCGAACTATCAGTGGTATAGGACTGTTTCGAGTCGAAAGTGTTAACAATAAAACGATATGGGATGACTCATAGTGAAAAATGTTACATGCAACCCACTATCCAATCCGAAGATGATGCGCGATATCCACGACAATGCTGGGGCAGGCGCAAGCGGCGGGATGGAGGAAAGCGAGGACGGCGGGAATGGGGTTGCAGAGGTCGATATGGACGAATGCGGCTCCCTCGCGCTTCCTCCCGACCTGCCCCCCTACTCCGGCGACTACATCATCAGCGACTACATGGAACGCCTCGGCACACGCCTCAATATTCTAGAAACGGAACTCAAATATGCTTGGCGAGCTCTCGATCTGCTTAGCCAAGAATATGTTCGAATGTGGGAGCGTCTCGAAAGATTAGAGACGCTACTCGCAGATCAACAGGGTGTAATATCAACTTTACTGGACTTTTACACATGCCGTACTGTCAGCGCTAGAGATCCAATGACTCGACTAGAAGTGATTAGAGAAATATTAGGAAATGGTACCGTCGAAGATGGAATAGAGGAAGGTATAGATATCGGACGAAACTCATTGTTAGACCATCCAGAAGAGATTATGGAATCAAATGAAGCATTCTATAAGAGTTTAAATCAAGCCTATCGTGATGATTTAGTTTGTGATGAAACATCTAGACCACCATCACAGTTAGATATGATTTGGGAAGCTCCGGAAGAACCAGATATAGAAATGATGCCATCAAGCTCTAGACAAATATATAGTTCATCAGATTATAAAGACTATTGTGGACTAAAAGGTGGACCTGTCATTAGTGAACGAGATTTGGTGCATTTATCTGCTTTAAGTACAATAGATCAAATCACAGTAGATAAATTACATGAATTAGATAGATTGACAACTCAATTACATAAAGATTCCAGAGAGCTAAAAGACTTGAAAACCAGACTTCTCAGTCCTGAAACGAAACTATCAAAACATGACAGGGAAATTGAAGCAAAGGCACTAGTCGAAGACGGGAATATAATAAATGAACAACTTAAAAGTGTGTACTCAGGCGGCGAAAATTGGGCTATCAACGATATGATGAAAAGTTTTGATGATTTTATGTTGACCGCTCCTAAAGACTCAATGGTCAGAGAGAAATCACCATCACGATTATCACTCACTGATAATGTCACTGATAGAACAATGGATTACTTGCCTCCAACTCTTTCTCCTCGTCGAAAGTATGTACCCGAGAGAACTACTACTGAACCATATACGACGGTCACAGGGCGTTTAGCCTATAGTTCGGCGGTAGCTAATGCTGAGATTAATGCAGCAAAAGCATCTAAATCACCCAGTGCTCTCTCAAGGGAAAGATTTGAGTATAGTTCTCCATATCCAATAGCTGACACTTCCAGACAAAATTATTTTTCTAGCAAAGGCCTATCTCAGCCTTTAAACGAGATTTATAAAACAGGATCAGAACAACACTCTCCCTTGTCAATTCACGAAATATATAACGGACCTAGTGCTAATGAATTAAATTATGAAGAAAACAGGTTAAGAAAATCTCCAAGTCCTCCACCACCGGCACCACCAAATGGAGCAAACGGGTTTCCATCAATAGAGAACAACAATGAATTGGTAACTCATCAACAAATGTTATCAACAGCCGGTGCTTTACCACATGATGCTATGCGATTGAGTCCAAGGTCACCAAAATCACCCAAAACATCACCGAAACATGTAAAGAGAGACTCGGCTAATATTGTAGCCGCAAAATCAGATTCAGGATTGTCGTCTATGAGTGGATGGTCGAGTTTGGAAAAAAGTCCTGGCTCACCAAAAACAGGTCGGATTGCGCACGCAAGTCATGATCATAAAATGAGAATTACTTCTCCACAACCAATACAGAGAATGTCTTACGAGATCGATGCAAAACCATACATAGAAACGCTTGTTGACTCTTACCTTTATGAGGGGGGCAATATGAAAAGTGATTTTAATTTACGAAAGACAGATCATATGGCAAAAGAAGTTAGTTCTAGAGATTTAAGTAAATTGCAAGGAAAAGTGGAGAGTGATTACATAAAAAGCGATACTCCATATTCGGTTACCGATCAAATGACTCAAATAAGCAATATCGGAGAATATTATTACGGCAACGAAGCCCCTTCAATATATTCCGTAGCTGGAAATAGGCAACCAATATTCACAACTGTGTATAGTACACCGAGAGGAATGTTATCTGAAGATAGAAGTTTTTCCGAATTATTAGATAGAAATGAAATTTCTGAATCTGTTGCAAGGCCTGCGGCAGATTCTTATCCGCCGGAACCTAGTTATCATGCACAGACTGTTGTCATGTCGGCGGCTAATGCCAATAAACGACCTTTGACTAGAGCGAATACGATGGGTGCAAACGATCCACATTTTTATCAAAATGGTTATAAGGGCCATCGTGCTGGATATCCTCCAGGCAATCTTACTGATGCTTTGTCGTATTATCCAACCTCAACAAGGTATGATTCACCTAAAAGAACGTCTTTAGAAGATCAGATATCGTGGCAAGGTGGTAGTCGATCGCCAACCAGTTCAATGGAAACTTCAAGCTTGAAATCTCATTCCCTGAGTATAACTGAAAGAAAACAATTTCAAAATCAACTACAACAAGAATATTTCAAACAACAGCAATATGATCAACGAAATGGTAATGTAATGTATGAAAACCAAGGCTTTGATAAGCAAGCAGCACCTGACCAGACTAAAATTAGAAAGGAGCAATATGTAGAATCAAGCGGTATACTAGTATCTGAATCGGGTTATCTATCAATATCTAATAACTTCAAAGGTAAACCTCAAGACAAACAACCTAAGAAACCAAAACGAACATCATCATTGAAATCAGCCATGTCATCAATGAGTCATTGGCTTCCAGATTTACATTTACCAAAGAAACATAGATCACATTCGCTTCCTTCTGGCGTGGACAATGTAGAACAACCACAGCAAGAAAAATCATTAAAAGAACGCATTTTATCTGCTCAGAGAAGGAAAAAGAAATATCATTTGGTAGCTTCGATGTCCGGCTTGTTACAAAAAGCTAGAAGGAAGCAACAAGCGAGTCATCAGTCATTATCAGATCCAGAAACATCAGAAACGGAATGGTCTGGAGGTAGATCAAGTGCCCAGTCCGAAGATAGTGACAGTGTATTTTCGGATTCTACGCATGACGGTAGTATGTTTCCTAAAGTAGCAACTAAACCAAAAAGGAAAATTAATAATCAGGAAATTGTTGAACAGCAGATGATGATACAAGAACGCATTCAAGAGCAAGGAAGAGAATATCAAGAGGATGACCCCGATTGTATTATTGAGGAAACAGAAAAGTTGACTGCAGCTACGAACGTTATTCCAAGAGACAAAAGTGATGACATCGATTTTCATTTTGCTCGAGTTAGTCAGATGAAAAAGGAAAATAATATACCAAAACTAGAAAAACTAGATATTGATACTGATATCTCAAATGTCGATCTATTTGAAGAAGACGAAAAAGGGGATACATCTCCTGGGTCACTTTTTGCTACCATTGGAGATGTGAAAAAGTCATCTAACGTTACTGAAGATGGATTAAGTGAAAGTAATAAATCTTACAGTGGAAGTTCGCAAGAATTCGCAGTTTCTAGAGCTTTGGGGAAATATCGTTTGCGTAAATCCACATCAGTGTCAGATGAGCATATTGCCGATATTTCACCACCAAAAGTCGAGACTGAACAACAAGAAGAGGCAAACGAAGAATTTATGAATCAGCAAAAAGAAAAGAAAGTACGTAAACCCAGCCCACCTGAGGTAGTAAGTACTGTGACATTGAGTGCTGAAGATCCACATAACTTGCCAGAAAGAAGTCCGTCTATACAAAGTACTCGTGGCTTACCAAACAAGTTTCAACCGCGACATCAGCAAAGTTTGGAAATACCAAATAAACATGATGATGACGATAGCAGAAGCACACATTCTTGGAGAAGTGGTTCCAGAGTATCGTCAAGGCGACAAAGTACTGAAGACAGTATTGATTCTGAAGATGAATGGTATTGTTACGAATTGAGGAAGCTGGAAGAAATGGAGCATCAGTCACAAGTAGAGACTGAGCGACATCAACCTTTACCAGAAGAACCAGAAATCGAAGAAGAATATTCTAGTGAAGTCCTTAAAGAGAAAATGTCGTTTGTGCTACGCGAACTAAAACTTAAAACGGCAACAACGAAACAAAAATATGACGAATCTCCAACTAAAGATTCTTGGAAAGATGTAACAACTTTCCCCGTAATCGAGGAGACAACGGACGAAGACAGACACTCAAGTGATGATAAGTCACTTGATTACTCCGGTTCAGGTGAAACTTCTGGACCTGACAGTCCAGTTCAAAGTGGTGATGAACTGGATGATGATTATGATATGCCACAGATACAACTGCCATTACCGTTACCTCGTGAGGATCCGCGGCCGCAACAAGATGCTCCTGTTGGCAGCAAATGGAAGCTTCTCAAGGCCCTAAAAGATCGCAAAGCTGAGGAGAAAACGTCGGAGACGCCGGCAGCCACGACGCCGTCAACTGAAAAGGACAAAGTCAGCGCCGGTGTAAGTTATCTTATGCAAAAGTTTCATGAGATTAGAGTTAAGAGTTAAATATAAGGTGTTTAGACGTATTTATAAGGTGCAGGTTACTTCCACAGTTATTTGAAATAATTAATAGTTAGACTGATATACTCGCCATCGCTAATACTATAACCCGCTTTAAAATTCATAAAACGAAGTTACTCGTAATATATATCTGTTTTAGAATAGAAAGTAGGACGTGTAATTGTTATTGATAGTCGTCCATTTTAACGATACTCAGTAAAAGATTCTACAAGTCAATCGATCTTCAATTTACCCGAATGCAGGGATCTGTTAGAATGTTTATTTGATACTATACTAGGTAGTTTCGACCTAAAGAACTAACTGCGGTTGTGAGATATATTTCAACCAATTTCTTTTCCTCCATATACTGCTAAATATGTATTTGAATGCATAGAATAGGGTGCTCGTATACACTATATTAAACTTATATGATATATTACTATTGACGCTCTTTCTATTTAATTGAGGCAATAATTAGATATAACCAATGCAATAGGGTACTAAGAACTTTCTATATATATAAAACAATTTTTACATAACGCTTGAGAAAAATATTCAACCAAAAATTATACAAATTTTAATAAAGGTTTGCTTAACGATATTTGTACTTGGAAAATATGGTAATCTTTACATGATATTGAATATATACTCAGTATTATATGTGTTCGTTGCTTCATAGAGATTGTTTTTTAATGTTAGAGTTGTATGAATTTGCTGTCTGTAATCAAATTCATTCATATATTGGCTTGGGGAGCATTTTGTCGTACAAAATTCGTTCATGGTCATATCATCTCATATCAGAGAGTTCCTTTTATTTATAGCTGTAATCATAATAAACGATAATTCTCAGTCATGAATACAAATTACTAATACTCACTATTTTCTATACGTTATGAAATGTATATTCAAGTTATAAGCAATATTAACAGTTTAAGTACCCGACTACGGTTTATTTCATTGCTGGAAAAAATACGTAAATATATTTACAGTTTATTTTTTTGTAATAATGATATATAAAATCAGATTAAAACGCAATTGTTTACAGTAACGCATTGTACTATTGTGAAGATTTGCAAAAACAACTGACATTGGTTTATGAAATAATCAGTAAAAAATACAATATATAAAAATGCCTCGATCATGGAATCAGTACAACTAAACATCCGAACATTATTACTTGATCAAACTTAATACTACAAAGTATGAATTGGTGTCCTTTCCTTTTATTTGATTCAAGTTAAAAATGGCTTTATCTACGGCTATCCTTTATCAAGAAAAGTTTGCACTAAAAACAAATAAAGCGGTAGTCATAAAACCAACATACATATCCAAGACATTACATATGAAATAAATATATATTAACAAATAGCTATTTACACCTACCGTAGTCGGAATAAAAAGAAAATAGAATATAATATAATCTCTTCCAAAAACTATGAAAACAGAAAGCAATAATACTAGTTCATATATACAGATTTTCTCACTAAAGTATTTTCATCGAAAGATATTTATAATAGGTACTCATATTAGATTACAATACATACATTGTATTTATTAGGTGTCGCATCGCTTAGGTAATCGTATATAGTTATTTACACTTGCATTAATATATAGCTGGCACCCAAACTATTTAGCGGAAAGATTTAGATGTTGAAAAATATTGCGTAGAATTATAATATAATAACTATATATTTATGGGCAGGTTAGATAATTTTTAGCAAAATATTTTATTAAGAATTTTGCATATTTTTACTCTTTACATGTTTGTATTGAATTGGAACAATGACTTGAGTTTTACTTCGAAATTTTATTAATTTTGTGAACTTAGGGTTGTTTTCAAGGTCGAAAATTTCATGATAATCATAAACTGCCCAAGCATTACTACTATTAGCTACTATTGTTAACTATATTATAAATTAATTGTGTTTAAATGTCGAGGTTAATTCTCCATGTAACTTATTATAAGCGTTAAATTGTTCTGATTAAGTTTCCATGACAAATACAACTATGATAGAAGAAAATGTGTTTTTATAAGTATGTTTGTTCAACCAAACTGAAGATCTTGGGTTCAACACCCAAGTCGATTAGCATTCAATGAAGAAATTATCTGAACAGATCTATTACATCTTAACCTGGACTTTCAGTTGAAAAAATTATTGGGTATGTTAAATTCTACTAGAAAATATCCAAAAAAAAATTTTTTATACTGTACAGTCTATCGCGGAGAACCTGACGGTTTATCGGGGCTCCGGCTCGAAGTGCAGTAGAAGGAACGGGGTAGTTTTTAGTCAGTAAGAGTCTGACACTCCCTCCCACCTCACACAGGCGGGAGCAGTCATTGATCATCAGATGATTTTTCAGCCTTAAAAAAAAATACTATACAGTCTTGTCTATCATTGACTGACAAACAAAGACAAGTTTGTACTAAAAACATTTAATTTGATGAAAATATCTCTGGGTTAATATTTGTCATAGAAAATTAATCACTATATTATTGTAATACTCTTAATTTTTTTTTATTAAATAAACTGTTAGCTTTTTATTTTTTTTTTGTTAGGTTTTTTATTTATTGTTGTTTTTTTTTTGTTTTTAGAATGGATCTGGTGGCTTCAACGAGCAAGGTGGCAGAGGAAATGGGTATGTGAACTATATGCAAAAATAGATTGAAATGAATTTGAAACATGCAAAAGTTATAAAAATACAGTTGTTTCAAGTACTTACTAAATATCTTGCACTTTGGAAACATTGCGAAAGTCATGCCCATTTATATTTAACCTTGAATGTGAATTTACAGAGACTTAACAATTTTACTATCTCCGATCAATGACTATGTATTATACCAACACCATTCATATACCTACAATTACAATCAAGGTACGTAAAATGACTCCAAGACAATTATTAAAAAAGAAAACCATTTCTATAGGCACGTCACGGATAATCCGTTCTACAGCAACATTGACAGCATGCCGGACATTAGACCAAGGAGAAAATCCATCCCCCTCGTCTCAGAACTTGTAAGTAACGTTTGGATTTTTTCTTATCTTTAACAAAACCTATCTATTATTACAAATCTCATGGAAGTAAGCTATCTTTCTCTCGGGCCGGTTTCAATTCGCTATCTTGAAATTGACTTGAAGCTTATTACAAGCTACAAAAGGGTTATTTTGGCATAATAAGCCTTTATCTGTACCTTATAGAAGGTAGATATTTGAAACTGGTCGTAAATGTTAACAGCTCGCATCGACGTACGCTTCCTGAGGCTTAGTAATATTAGGCGCGTAATAAATGTTTTCTTCTACACGGAATTTCCATATTATGTGTTTTTGAACAATTTATGGGGAGAATGTTAAAATAAATTACGTTTTGTCGTTGAATTTAAATAAGCGAAACGTATTTTTAACAATTTGTGAAAAAATGTTGTAGTTAAACAGTAATTATCACTTGATTTCTTAGCTCCCAATATGTTGTTCCAATAAAAAAATAAAACTGAGGCCTATTCGATCCCTTCTCTCTTCATTGATGTCTCAATGTTACCTGTATTGTGTTTTTCCTTCTGATCTTTACTACTTAGATGGCCTTTAACCTTTTCTTAGATACCAATCCAACCCTTATTGTACCGTGTAAAAGATAAATTAGGGGTCACCGGAGCAAAAACTACAGTAGCGGACCATAGTCACCGAATGAACGACTCTAATTCCTGATAAAAATTAATAATATCATTGCATTTTACCCCCTTACCACGGACCTGCAGGTTCTCAAGGTATTTCTATCCCAATAAAACTTCTATTCTATGCATGCAGTTCTAAAAAACAGTGAAAAGATAAAATTTCTTCAAGATTTTTTACTTTTCACTCACTGTACATAGTGTGCTTGCATTGAAATTTGATTGAATTTGATTTGGCCTTTGCATGTTTCTGCTTTAGATCATATTTCAGATGGTTAAGTATAAAAGGTAAAGCTACAATATTGTATTACATCTTACGATTGCATTACACCATAACAGCATACATAAACAAATTATTAAAATTGAATTCCACACTGGGAACATGCACGTGCTTGCCGATTTCGTTTTCATTGCGAAGCTTCAATATCACAGCAAATATTATTTTCGCGACTGAAAATTCTTTTTCATCACAACATCAATAAACATGATCCCTCAAATGTAATAATGTTTCAGTGTTGTACCGAATCTCACATACACACATTTTAACTTTACACGCACCAACAATTATTTTTATTTGTATAAGTAATCAAACGAAATTTGTCGTCGGTATGAAATTGAAATTTTCAAAACGGTAGATATGATTTCGTTGGAAGACAGGCTTAAAAACAGCTTTGTTAAAGCATGTGTAAGTAGCTTCAATTTGCAAATGATACAACACATTCTAAATTTCTAGAGAAATAACAATAGTTACTTTTCAAAATAACGTAGTTAGGTAGGCAATTCAACGCTTGACTAGAATATAGCAGACACAACACTCAGTGCCATGTACATACTGAGGATGAATGAGATGTTTATGCCCAATGCTCATATATCTTCTGCTATTTAGACAATGGCGGCTACGAAGAGGAATGCAGGTTTGACATCAGCTGTACATCGAGCCACATTGAACGATGAAGAACTGGTAAGTTCCTAAATAATCACTTTTCACTCATTGCCAAGTGCTTATTCGATTTCAAATTGTATTTCTGTAAGGATTTTCCGTGCAAATTCTAAGCTAAGAGATATATTGCAGAAAATGCACGTATACAAGAAGACTCTGCAAGCGCTCATCTACCCAATATCGTCGACCACACCTCATAACTTCGTGCTCTGGACGGCTACCTCGCCAACTTACTGTTACGAGTGCGAAGGCCTACTTTGGGGCATCGCCAGACAAGGTGTAAGGTGCACTGAATGTGGTGTCAAGTGCCACGAAAAGTGCAAGGATTTGCTCAATGCCGACTGTCTTCAGAGTAAGTGGAGCCCTGGGATGGTCTATGGGTATACTTATATTATAAGTGATTGGGATTTGTTTCATTTCCATATTATTTAAAAGTAAAACTACTAACAAAGAATATTATAAAGATGTCAGATAATAATGGAACAAATTCCTAAGAAATGATTGTTGTGTCCCCAATGCAGTGTGAGCAGGTAAGAGAATAACCGCTTGTTTTCTTAACTGTGCCTGTAAATATTAAAATATTCATCACTAAACTGATGATTCTATCACAATTCTCTTACTTTCTTTACACAAATATTGATGTTGCCAATCAACCCAAATAATAAATGTACAGCTTTTAATCACAAAAATCAATAACGAATATGTTGTGATTAAAAATAAATTTTAAATTTTAAAGAGCGTCACTTCATTGATGTCTTTATGAACGTTGAACGAGCATAAAATGTTTAGGTTTTTAGAGTTGGCTGGGAAGCGCAGTTCCCTCCTTATTAAACTGAAGTGAGCCAAGAAGCACTTGACAGGTCACTCGTTGTAGACAAGATCTTTGGATACACAACGTCGTAGTAGAAAATCAATATTTAATGCACAGTCTAAGGAACATTGTAGGTACTCAACGCTGAGCCTTATTTAGAGAGCGTGGGCCATTCCGCTTTATGTAATTTAATTATTTATTTACGTAATGTTCAAGCATTCGTGTTCTATCAAGTAAGTCTAGACACTTAAGCCTTTGATGTCTTAAGATTCACTTACGCCGGATTTGACTATATCCTTTTGTCATTTAAAAATGCTATGGGACATTAGGCGTTGGAATATATCAATGAAATCCAGAATCGAGTACAAATAAAGTCACTGTTACATAATTCCGAAGCGGCAGTTCGTCCGTAAGTTCCCTACACTGAGGGAGTTTCAATGGTACTTAATGGAGAGCAAGTCTTGTCGAGAGTTATGACCTTTGTGCCCGCACTTTGATCAAGTCCACACTAGATATAATAAACTCATAGATTTATCACCCTAAATGCGAGTTATCCATTTGTTAGGAATCAGTTTTGTGAGTTATGGTCATTGTTTGGCACATCTTAGATAATCTTGTAGTTTAATAGCTAGGTACCTAAGCATTCTTGATATTTGATTACTACGTTTTAAAAATGAAGTGTCGCTCTTTAATATCTAAATGTTAATGTAAGTCTATTAGATGTTTACCTAATTTGTTAGATTCCGCTCTCTAGGTGATGTCTGTGTTAAAAGGTAATAAATGGTTCAAAATCCAGAATGTCGTCGTAGTAAAATTTACTGGCATTATTAGTATTGATGTGCATGTGTTCAAAATTTTGCATGTATTGATCGTTATACATCAGTGATCAAACATTATCTTCACGTACGAGAACACAATTAGGACCATTCGTCAGAAAAACACGACTAGCGACATCACCAGGATTCACGCAATTATAGGAACAATCCATTTCTTTATTATTTTTATCGTTGTTGTAATTTTGTTTCTGTGGTGTTTATTTATCTACCTTTTTCTTCATGTTTACTCTGACCTCATATAATGAAATAGCATGATGTGTTTTCCCTTTCCAATTAATAATTTGACCATTGCTTTATCGGTGTGCATGGCTATCGGTGCGATACACAGTTATTATTATATTCCAAATTTTATTATTCCCATAATATTCGGTTCTAGAATAACATTTGCACGATCATGTAGGCGAGCAGTCGTTAGGTGAACCGCGTTTTACAAAATATTGTTTTTTAACAAAATAGTAATTATCGACTGCACGCCATCTTCATACCAGTCTACACTTTGAAATGAATTATTGAACTTTTAAATTTTCACTCTTACTTAACAAATTTTATTTACTTCTATTTTTATTTTAATTTTTTTCCTTCTTCTGTTTTTTAAAGATATTGGAATGGTTATTATGTTCTTTGCTGCTGACGTAAGTATTTCTTTTTACCTCTTATTTCTCTTTCAGTTGATCTTTTTTATTTACTTATCTTCATTATAAAGTGAATTAGCCTTAAATCAATACTTTTGAAGTGTGGACATGTAGCTTGTGTAGATAGGGTTCCGGTCCTGTCATCCGTTTGTACCTTTCGAGTTGCCCCGCCCAGCGCCGAAACTTGTTAAAGCCCTATTTGACTAAATTACTTGTGTTATGTACTTGTTCTTTACCCTACTTTACATTTTACACTATCTCCTACACACCGTTTTTCTTAAAAATCGGTTTAGAAGCTTCTAAAAAAACACGAACGCCCAAACAAATCCGACAAATGCAACGTGTTGTTACGATGTGCCTGTTAGCAATGTGTGCACGCAATCCAGTGTCTGTCCACTTCTATATTATATGTGGTCCTTTAGTTTATTTATTTTCCTATGATTTATAGAGTTCCACGTTTCTGTATTAATTTTACTGTCTTTATGTTTTTCTCTTATAAATCCCTGAGGATGTTCAACGCTTAAATTGTCAATTTGTATATATGATACTAAATCAATAATATGTTTCGTTTAAATTTAAATCTAAATGGACGAACAAACAATACTGATACATACAATACAGAGGGTGTTTTAGTGTGCAATACAGTTCTAACGCCTTTTAGAGATATTTGGCAGCCTGTTGATATGATGCGATTACTATTAATATGCTGCCAATAAAAATTCTCTCAATGAGTTTATTTTAGAACAATGCGTTGAACTGTATTGAGTTTTGTTTACCAGGCGCCGTGCTCAGATCCGCTCCGGCCGGCGCCGCTCGACGTCGATAACCTGATCAGATCTGACATACATAAACTTTGCGAAATTTACTTATTGAAGTTGGAGTCTTGTCAGGTTGAGGCCAAGAGTGGTCGTAGCGGGTGTGGGCGCGGGGCGGGGGGCCGTCCCGGCGCATCCCGCAACTTCTAAGAACTGTTGGCACCGCCTGATCAGTGTGTTTCGCAGGGGCGGCTGAAAAGTCTTCCAAACATGGCGCTGAAGACAAAGCCAATTCCATCATCACAGCTATGAAAGAACGAATGAAACAACGTGAACGAGACAAACCTGAAATCTTTGAACTAATCAGGTAACGACACTTCCATCTTTTGTTTTACGATAATATTTAAAACCCAAAACTTTGTTCGGCGATTGCTTTTAATGGTCCGGATTCAGGTATACAATTTTTTATCTAACTCAATAATAATAAAGTTGAACACCATTTTGCCTGTTTTCACTTAGCTGAATTGAAACAATCACATAATGCTGCAATAGCTAAACTGCACGTAATAACACCCCCTTTGAAATCCATTTATATAACTGAATATCGCTAGCAAAAGAGCTGTTTCTGACAACGTCATGAAAAGTAATGTTTAATATCATATCAAATGCCGTTGAGTAAATTGAAAATATTGGAAAGCAATCGCTGACACGAATGTGTATGTGACAGACGCGTGTTCAGCATCGATGGGGACCCTCACGGAGCGCACATGAGCACAGTGAAGCAATCAGTCCTCGATGGTACATCGAAATGGAGCGCCAAGATCGCCATCACAGGTTCGATTGACGTGCAGTGTATGCACTAACCTTCCCTTTTAGGATCTAGGTACCAGGCAGGGAGGCAGCAAACATCGGAAAGGCATAAAACACAATACAGACACAACACTAAATTGTATTCAATCTTTCGTTTCATGTGGCGGCCAGGCGGACTTTTAACGTCGACCCAGACACTCACATTGACAGTCTAGAACAGGCCAAGCAAGTCACTATAGAAGGAACATCAAAGTGGTCTTGCAAGATCGCCATTACAGGTTTGCGGTGGTCTTTTGCGGCTACGACCCGCACGCTCGCAGTTTTGATACTATTAGACAGACTCTTCGCCTGAATTCTCTTTTCCCTTGTTTTTGATATCTGCTTCAAATTATGATTTTCGTAACATTATTATTGTAATACAAAAGCGTAATTGTGTTGTACAAGAGTAAGCGTTAATGCTAAGTTGAAAAACGTAAATGCTTCAGTAACTATAAGCCGCAGCTTCAGCAGATATCAAAAAAGAAATCTATTGCATATCTATACTTCAAATACCCGAAAAATCACGGTCGTTAATGCACCGCCTCTAATCACTTCCATCGATAAAAACGTAGCTTTATTTATTCATTAACACTAAGGAAATTCCACGAATCTAACACATCACTGAACTGAAATGATAAGACGAATTCAATTATTCTTGTCACGCACACAAATTTTATACTCCCTGAACACTGAAATGACACGATTCAAACCACGTTAATTTAAATGATTGCAAAACCACAACTCGGCAGCACGTCTGCTAAATTGACACAAATTGCATGAGAGTCACAGATTAACAATAAATTAATACTACAATGAGTGGATTGTCAAAGCTCGTTCACTATAACACGAATGGTGATGGGGCATCACTTTACACACTAACCAGTTTAATTTTCAGTGCGACGACGATAGAAACCTATACTTCAGTAGTCGTTTGTAAGTGAATGAAATTTTAGAAGAAATAATAGCATGCCGAATGAAGGACCCCAATTATCCCGAAAATTTCTACTTCTCTGTTACTGCCAATAACTTTTCGATTCGTGAAAATTCCAATGCCATTAGACTTGATTCCCGCGCATATCTTTATACTTCTTTGAAACTTTCTTCTTGGTCGAAGTTTGCATTAGAAGTTGCGATAATGTAGGCGCTATGTTCAACTTGTTTTAGAAATCGAATTTGGGCATAGGTAGATAAAAAGTTTGGTAGTTTGAAGCTAGTGTCTTCTTCTTTGACCCCGACCCGTTCTGATCACACGAAACCCTGTTCATAGATTTTCAAGAGATTTTAGCACAGAATGCCTGATTTGGTAAGTAAGGTAGAAGATTTTATAGCTTGGTAAGGTATTTATTTAGTGTAGGTAAGTTGGAGCTAGCTTTAACTGCTAATAATGCTTCCTGGCGGAGTATCTAAGCGTAATGTAACGTATACATTGCGTAGTTACATGAGAAAGAGTTTGTAGCAATAAAACAACGATGAATGTATATCACTTTCGAAAGATTTACCAGAAATACGTTTGGTATTTACTCAACCGTATCGCAGGGTTGGTACAGTTTGCTATATTATTTTTATTTTGCACAGAGATCCATTGGAACTGAGTATATGAAATATTATTTCTGCAAGCTATCTACGTTTTGAGGAATAAAAATAAACTTGCGAAAAATAAATGCAGCTGAAATATATTCGTGCATAATATTTAAGATAATATAATATGTTTCGGAATATGATGATGAAATACTAACTTGGCCCTTCGTGGGCAGTTATTTGTGCTCAAGGCCTCATTGCGAAGGATAAGAGTGGAACTTCAGACCCCTACGTTACCGTCCAAGTAAGCAAAGTGAAGAAGAGAACAAGAACTATGCCTCAGGAATTGAACCCCGTGTGGAACGAAAAGTTTTACTTGTGAGTATAACATTAAGAACTAATTTTCAACATCAGAGTGTAGATAGTATAGAGAGCCGAACGTGCTCGATACTATTACGTCACAAATGCGATAGGTATTTTTAGCGTATAGCGTACACTAGCAGACGGTTCACCTGATGGTAAGCAACCGGTGCCGCCCATTGACACCTGAACCACATATTTATTTTTATATAATCCGTCCTATAAAAAACAAAGTACATTTACAGAAACTTAATCAGATATTTTGAACTTGTGTTTGTATAGCATTTTCAAGTACCGAAAGAGATCGTACTTTAGGAGTAACCAAAATACATTTTAATTTCATTATTTCCTGTCTTCCCTAGTGAATGCCACAACTCATCTGATCGTATCAAAGTGAGGGTATGGGATGAAGATAACGACTTGAAATCAAAACTACGCCAGAAGTTGACTAGAGAATCTGATGATTTCTTGGGTCAGACAATCATTGAGGTAAGCCCATAATGTTTTCTTTTTAATTTTGATCAAAACATTTTTCTGTGATTTCATTCTGTTTAAAAACATCATAGCGTATACACATTTCAGTAAATAATTATAAATTCCCAAAACTGTTATAATATTACACGAACTGAACTGAAAACGTCGAACTGGTATTTCTAGAAGTTATGGTGCGTTAAAACAAAGGCAGACATTGTTTTATAAAATACTTCAGTATTATTAATTGAACGATAGATCTCTTTTCTTTTTTATTTACTTTCAAAAAATATACACTTAACAGCAGAAATAACACGATAGTAAAGTAATCTAACAACGTCAGTTCATCATAGTCTTGTTGTTATATCCTGACAACTGAACTATGATGAAAAGCCCTCGCCTTGTCTAGTCTCAAAGGTAATAAATATTTATTAGATAGAATAATTTGTTGTTTTTAACCGACTTCAAAAAAACAAGGAGGGTCTAAGTTTGACCTACATGTATAGTTGTGAGCGATTGTTCCGCAATTGGCTAATTCGATTTTGATGCGGTTTTTAGAAAAGTGTATGTAAATTTACACTTAAGAGAAGGTTTTAGTATAAATAACTGACCTCAAAATTGAGGTGTTCGAAGCCGATTTTTATTAAACGTAGTTTATAAAAGAATTATAGGTAATACCACTTCGCATAGCAACTCAATCGATTGTATTACGAAGAGCAGATTGATGTAACTGCAAACTTCGAATTCATTTTAAATCTTCGAATGTTTGATAGTATAACTTGTTTTATTCCTTTGTGGCGATTTTTTAAGCCGTTTCTGTTTTATAAATTGTAAGGCTTGAGTGTTGGATACAAAAAAACAAAATCAATATTCGAATGAATAAATAATGAACATGAATAAGTGACCTGTCAAGTATGTCAACACAGAAAAAAAGCATCAATTTGATGATGGAGAAGTAAAATATTAGAATCGAATATGTTAACAACAGATAAGCACGGTGAAGCCGATTTTTAACGACATTTTAAACATACTGAATTCTAACTAATAACATAATAATAATCATAATCATTTATTTATTTGTAACATAGGTGGTATTACATGGATGTTATTGATGTAGCAATAAGAATATTGCAACGTAATTATATAAAGCTCATTCTCAATCATTTCATAGTTGTGTGCTAAATACGAAGTATTGTAACAATATTTATTTACAAATTAACTAAAAATACCAGTTTATTCACGTAAATATACCGAGAAAAGCTCTACTAGTAGAATGAGCGACGTTGCCGTGTCGTGCACGCTCATAAGGAAGAGTCCCTCTGTGACTCGAAAATAGTAAAGCTTTTCTGAGTATGTTTACTTGAGTTAACGATTATTTAAAAAAAAATCAGTATGTTTATGGACAACATAACATCACGCCTTTTATCCCCGAAGGGGTAGGCAGAGGTGCACATTATGCCACTGTACAATGTAAAAGTGGGTGCTTTTCCGGGCACAATTACAGACTCCGTGCTACTACTGAGAATTTTTAAAAACTTTGTCAGTAATGCGACCACTCGGCCAACGAGGCAGTCAATGTTTATGGATAGTTATTATACAATTGTTTGTTTACAATTGCATAAAGAGGATGTAATGCCATTAGCATTCTTTGTCATTGGAAATGGACATTGTTTATGACTACGTGGTTCAATTAAAACTTATTATTTTTATACAAATGTCGAAACGAATACATTTATGTAGTAAATTATGACTCCTTAGAGCCTTACTTCCCTTGTTTGTTTGTTCGTTTCTTTTCATTTTGTTGTGCAAAATCTAACCACATCAATATTTCAGGTACGAACGTTATCAGGCGAGATGGACGTGTGGTACAACTTGGAGAAACGAACGGACAAGTCTGCGGTGTCCGGAGCCATCAGACTGCACATCAACGTGGAGATCAAGGGCGAAGAGAAGGTGGCACCCTACCATGTCCAGGTCAGTGATAAAACATTTATAGGATACTTTTACAGGTCTAAACTAAAAGGACTCACCGATTTTGATGATGTGAAAAGGGAGAAATTGTGTAAAAACGTTAATGTATGATACCCATTGCCATACATACAGATATCACAAATGTTGTTAGTAATAAAATAAAGTACCAAAACTGTCAGGGGTTCCAAAAGGTCGATGGCCGTTAATGCTACTACAAAATGTAGTTCATAGCAGCCTTTACCTTTCTTTGCGATTCATAAACAATGTTACCAATTCGCAAGTCAACAGGTTGCTCGGGGCATTGGCACTATGCCCCTTGGCCTACAGCCAGCGGTGCCGTAATTACTTGTTATTTAACGCAACTACTGAACTTGACAAACATAATTGGATATTGTTTCGCAACCATTTGTTACTCCGTGACAACCAATATTGGTACAAACATTCAATTTCAAAGAGCAAACTGCAGTCGGTTTGCAAAAGTAAGATTAGAACTGTTCGCGACAGTCACATTAAATCATTTTTATTTCTCAAAGAACAATAACCTTGTAAAAGCAGCAATAAATCTGCGTTGTGTTTATTTAGTATAATAATTTATTTTACTAACTCACCACAAAAGTGTACCTACACAGAATTAATAAAATGAAATGATTCGTGAAACGAATCGGGGAAATAATACAAGAAAATTATACCATCACACAAAAGTTGTAGAACAATACTATGAAACTCCGAGAAAATTTGGAATATCCAATCAATTTTGGGAATACAATTAAAACCTACAGAAGTCCCGAAAGTTCCTAAACATTTTTCGCTTGAATCGTTCTTTTGTGTCATTTATTCGAATTACAACGGTCGTTTATTACAATCTGACTTCAGTTTCGTTGAGCATACAATCAAATCTAGTTGTAGAGGAGGTACGTAGAGGCCAGATGCGGGAACTGAATGGTCGAACTTTCTGGAATAAATGTGAAAAGTTTATGTAGCCGGCTAACTAAGCGAAACTGCTAGCTAATGCAAAAGTATAATTTCTTGGTCACATTCGGGCCCGAGGGTGCCGGGGACTGGTCGGTTTTGTGATGCAAATAATTTAAGCTGGCTATTTTGTGTTGGTGACGTGACCTCTACCGTTGGGAATTTTAATGTTTATTTGGAAGTAAACTTGTGACATCAAGGCTGATGGAATTAAAACTTCTTAGTTACATTTTTATTTAATTTTAGCCTTCAATATTTTAGTAGGCTTAGAAAATTGTTTGAATAGCAAATGATTCTGCTCTTTATTATTTTCGGCGTAGCGAAAATATCTCGTCATGATTAATAGTTTCGAATGATTGATTAGTGAGAAATTAAATTAGGTACTTATTAAATGATGTTCAAGTGTAATTTTTTTGCGTTATCTACTAGCATTGAAAATTTTGAAATGTGAAAAATGTTTTATGAAACACACAAACATTTTTAATTATTCAAGAAGTATTAATAGTTGTAAAGAAATATTCAACGACTGTATTTTATTCAATCAAGTACCCGTTAAAAATTACAGTACTTTATTTAGGTTTTAACTTAGGCTTTATTTATGAGGAAGCCTAATGAAAACTCGAGGACGACGTAATTTCTCAAACTTGACGTAAATAAAATTCGCGAAACTTTCGAGTATTTATCGAAAACAAAGAGGGTAACTTAAATCAATGGTTTTGTCGTAGTACCTCGATTCAAAGGATAATTGGACAGCTATCAATCTGTGAAACAATGTTGACACTATTTCATAGAAAACTATAAAATACTTATTCAGTCGTTTTAGTGAGAAAATTGCATACATACTTACAAATTTTCATGCCTGTCTCGCATGGGTAAGGCAGAGGCTATGGAACTATGCAGAAAATTGCACATTTAAGTAAAAGTAAATGGAGAGGTATGTTTTCATTTTGCAAAGGGCAGAAACATAGAATATCGTAATTGGAAATTCAACAATTGATACAAAAAACTACTTTCGTTTAATGTTTCTTTGTTTGAAAATGTTTCATAACATTTATTTGTCATACTTATCTGAAAGAACTTTACAAATAATAATGTGCCATCTATGTATCGATTTATCATAGTACTAATATTTCTTCTATAACGTAATATGTGTTAGTATAGTATAGTTCATCAAAATGTATGTTTTAACTTTTGTGAGACAGTTGCCGCGTCGCGAGTCACGGAATGCTGCTCATAAATATGAGCCTCTAGCATGGCTTGAAACTAGTCGAGTTTCTCGTCAAATAATTACGTGTGACATTTTACGGGAATAAGTACAATATATTTAATTTAATCAAAATTCCATGAGACAGACAAAGATCTACTAACAAAATAGAATTTCATCTAAAGATAAAATCAGTCCTGTTGGATGTACAAAGAGATCGATTCCGTCGGTAATAGGGATCACACTTGAAAAACGCCAAGTTGTGAACTAACTGGAGATTTAATTCCAATCTGCAGCACACTTTGAAATCAACTTCGAAAACGAGATTTTCTGAAGTTACATTTATTGAAGAAAATGTAGTAGAAAATTCGTTTTGAAAACACGGTTTCTGATATGTGATATAGTATCAATAGTACTGCTTTAGATAAACATTATAAGTGAAAATAATTGGAATGGAATAAAGAATAAAAATATTTTAAAAAATTTAAACAAAGAGACTATAAGATTATAACATCACGCCTTTTTATCCCCGAAGAGTTAGGCAGAGGTACACATTATGGCACTTAAAACCACTGTATAATGTAACACCCACTATTCACTATTTATGTTATGAGTCCCATATAGTAGGAAATGAGCCTATTGCCATATATCTAGCACAATTCCAAACTCCGTGCTACGACTGAATTCTTTTTTAAATAATTATATTTTAAAACTATTTTTGAAATATCAAACATAATCTTCATCGCAGCAAAAATAACCTCTGTATTTGATCAGTTCCTCTAAACTCAAGGTCATTGCCACATCTTAAGCTTTCAATGTGACCTTTACTCAGGCCTAGGTTAACCGAAACATTATTAGGCTTTCTACCCAGACAAGACATATTTAATTTAAACTTAATTAATTTACTGAGACTTATGTGCACAATTTTGGTACGTTTATGCCCATAGTACACAATGGCTTCATTCATGAAGCATAGTCGGTTGTATGAATTGCTTCAACAGTTATAAATAAATATTTTTTATACCTCTATACAGACTGCCTCGTTGGCCGAGTGGTCGCAAGTGCGACTGCCAGGCAAGAGGTCTCGGGTTCGATTCCCGAGTCAGGCAAAGTATTACTGGGTTTAAAAAAAAATCTCAGTAGTAGCACAGAGTCTGGAAATGTGGTATATGGCAATAGGCTCAACCCCTACTACATGGGACTCATAACATAAATAGTGAAAAGTGAGTGTTACTTCTGTGTTAACCTCTGCCTACCCCTTCGGGGATAAAAGGCGTAATGTTGTGATGATATTTTTATATACCAATTACATTTATCTACACAATTCACTTCTGGAGTACGAGCCTGCTCCATAAATTTCCTCGCTTATTGAACAATGAACATTGGACCAATATGAAATCAGTTTGTCGCCAGTCAGACAAAGGCTTACGTAATATGAAACCAGAGTACCTCCATCCATCTTGAAGACCAGACCAACCTTTTTAGGTCTAGTTTGCTCAAATTTTAACTTGTTTCTAGACTTTTCGGCAACAATATCATTGGACCAACTGTGTACGATAGCAAAAGTCTACGCAAATGGAATAACCGAATCTGCCTTAAATAAAATATTGATTAACTGGAGCGTTGACATCAACAGCCTATAAACGGTCACTGCTGAACAAAGACCTCGTCTTGCACGGAAAAGATGTGAGCATTAATCACCATGCTTACTCAATGCAGGTTCGCGATTTCAAACTCATAATTAGAAGTTATAATCCAGGTTTCCTCACGATGGCTTTCTTCACTGTCTATCAGTGGTGTCTAAATAATCTTAGAAACTAGATATAACTCGAAAAACGCCACATTGGTACTTGCATGAGAAGCGGGCGTCTTAAACCTCCGTGCATCCACGACACGAGATAGACTTAACAACCAGATATCTCTCTGTACCTAACATGTATCATTATTAAAAAGTCGTGTTCTCCTATACAATTTTCTCATACGTTGTACAAAATTCCGTTACAAAGTGCACAAACAAGCTAATACGAAAGTTTAAGTGAATCATAATGCATCATGACAAATTGTATACGTTCAGGTTACCTCGCTCTAAACTGTGTAATACAAAGTTTGAGCTAAATAAATGAAGGAAGTTGTTCGTTAGTGGGCGTCCTGTTTAAATCTGTAACACGTAACGTTGCAACTAAAGTTTTGAAGCAAAAAGTACGGTTAGGAATTTCGTTTAGTTACAAATGAAAATTGTTACTCTTTAGAAATGTCAAAGTGTGGGAGAGCCATGCTTCGGCACGAATGGGCCTCACAGAAAACTGACGTGAACCGCTTACATTGTGATTCGTCGTGTGAGTGAGGTTACCAGAAGCCCAATTATTACCACCCTCTCTAGTCTCCCGAATCCTCCACAATCCTAAAATTCCCAATTCCAAAAAGCTGGTAACACACTTGTGACGCCGGGTGTCCATGGACGGCACCGATTGCTTACCATCAGGTGATCCGTCTGCTCGTTTACAGGCTTATGCTATAAAAAAAAAACTCAGTTTGCTCTCTGAACAGATGGTCAAAACTAAAAAAAAAACTTGTTAAAGTTTCGAATATTTGCACTAAAATTATGTACTTTGGACATGGTAAACTCAAACCCCTCAAAATGGATTACCAAATTGTAACATTAACCTTTCAGTAACTATATCACAAAAGTGAGTTTCCTTGGCGCACATTCCTGTGGCGAAGCAAGAAACTCAATTACGCTGAAATTACTTGTGCTGTCACCTTAATTATTTCTATTGCTTTTACAGCGGTCATTAGCTGACTTAACAAAACAACCTTTCAGCTCTAACCA